ACGAGTAGCGTCCTTGCTCCTAGTAGCGATGCCCTTTGTTACTAGTAACTAGTATATAGGTTCTTATTACTAGTAGCGATGCCAGGAGCTACTAGCAGCGTCCTTGTTCCTAGTAGCGACTCCCTTTGTTACTAGTAGCTTCGTCTTACCAGTAGTGATGCCAGGAGCTACTAGTAGCGTCCTTGCTCCTAGTAGCGATGCCCTTTGTTACTAGTAGCTTCTTCTTACTAGTAGCGATGCCAGGAGCTACTAGTAGTGTCCTGGCTCCTAGTAGCGAGGCCCTTTGTTACTAGCGATGCCCTTTGTTACTAGTAGCTTCTTCTTACTAGTAGCGATGCCAGGAGCTACTAGTAGCGTCCTTGCTCCCAGTACCGATGCCTTTGTTACTAGTAGCTTCTTCTTACTAGTAGCGATGCCAGGAGCTACTGGTTACTAGTATAGCGTCCTTGCTCCTAGTAGTGATGCCCTTTGTTACTAGTAGCTTCTTCTTACTAGTAGCGACGCCAGGAGCTACTAGTAGCGTCCTTGCTCCTAGTAGCGATGCCCTTTGTTACTAGTAGCTTCTATCTAGTAGCGATGCCAGGAGCTACTAGTAGCGTCCTTGCTCCTAGTAGCGATGCCCTTTGTGACTAGTAGCTTCTTTTTACTAGTAGCGATGCCAGAAGGTACTAGTAGCGTCCTGGCTCCTAGTAGCGACGCCCTTTGTTACTAGTAGCTTCTTCTTACTAGTAGCGATGCCAGGAGCTACTAGTAGCGTCCTTGCTCCCAGTAGCGACGCCCTTTGTTACTAGTAGTTTCTTCTTACTAGTAGCGATGCCAGGAGCTACGAGTAGCGTCCTGGCTCCTAGTAGCGATGCTCTTTGTTACTAGTAGCTTGTTCTTACTAGTAGCGATGCCAGGAGCTACTAGCAGCTTCCTTGCTCCTTAGTAGCGACACCCTTTGTTACTAGTAGCTTATCTTACTAGTAGCGATGCCCTTTGTTAATAGTAGCTTCTTCTTACTAGTAGCGATGCCAGGAGCTACTAGTAGCGTCCTTGCTCCTAGTAGCGAGGCCCTTTGTTACTAGTAGCTTCTTCTTACTAGTAGCGATGCCAGGAGCTAAAAGCAGCGTCCTTGCTCCTAGTAGCGATGCCCTTTGTTAATATAGTAGTTTCTTTGTCAACATGGGGAGGTCACGTGGACGTGACTGGTCTCAAGGTTCCCTCCATGGCTTGCGCTTGGTATTTTAGTTTAGTACCAAATCATTATATACTGCAATTCGCATTAATTAACTATACTATATATGATACTGTACACTATACGCTATACGTGTGTTCTTATGCATGTTCTGTCATACATGCCGTGTTTGTGTGCTTTCATACGTGTGCCTCACATATGTGCTCTCACATGTGTGTTCTCATGTGCCCTCATATCTCTGCTCTCAAGGCGCGCTCATATGTTCTTGTTGCTGTTTGAGGTGTTTTGCCACGATATTTTGGGAATCACTATAGGCTGCCTGCCTTGCCCCAAAGATGCGATCCCTGCCTTTGAAGTATTGCATTTGAACCAACTCCGAGTATTGATTCGGTATATGGATGGTGCACAAAGACTTGTCCAAGAGTAGGGTGGATAGATGTGACATGTCACCAACCATGTGGCTTGGAATGTCTTTTCTGGGGTATGTTGACCTACCTTTTTGTCGGGCGGATTTGAGCCCACTGTAAAGTTGTCAGGATGCCAGGGCTGGTTCTCGACAATTGAAGTGCAGATTACCAGTCGGAATTGGAAGAGCAGCTCAGGTGATGGTTAAAGATTCTTCCTTACTCTGTTTAGTGGTTTAGTGGAGGCCTAGATCAAAGCTTTGCAGAGCAGGTCCTTCTCACAAACGAACTTAAACCAGAAACTCAATGTAGTGGAAGGAGCAAGGGAATCTCATGTATGTCGTGTTCTTTTGGGTCAAGTTAAGAGCTCCTTGACTCATTAGTTTCAAATCTCTCACATAGTTCAAAGCGCAGCATTATAGATACATTGATTTTCAGACCATGTTCAACGCCATGGTGGCCGGAAGTTAACAAATACATTGAAGAACTAGGAACATGTTGCATTTAAGAACTCGGAATACTTGTAGTTTTGGGGATCCAAGAGCTGCTTTGAGCTGTTTTTTGCACCGGTGAACACCTGGTGGCAGTTGTCGAGACAACTCGCCAGGCCAGCCAGACAGGGCAGCATGCGGATTCTTCAAGGAGATGCTACAAATGGGATGCGTTCGGGGTAGGGAGACCCCCTGGTGCCCGTCACAGCATTCTCCATTCACCCAGGACGGATGAGCGGTCTCCTCCGATGTTGGCCGCCAATGCCACTCCTGAGATGTTGTGGATCTCCTGTACTAGCATGGCAGGGGTTCTCAAAACGCATCGCGCACGAGTCCGCCGCTTCGCCAAGTGCCCAAAGACGCGAGCGGTGAGACCGTCGAGGTAGTCTTGAGTCTTGGTTCTCGACAGGTCATTTCTTCCAAGCAGATGCACCTGGATTAGCCAGTGCCATGCTTTTGAGACTCAAGGTCGGATTGGACCCTTTATATCCCCCGGTTGGCATTTGATCGATCTGGACGGGCATGTACAGAAACACACAGCCAAGATTATTGGTGATTCCTAGTAGCGTCCTTGTTCCTAGTAGTAATGCTAGGAGCCACTAGTAGCGTCCTTGCTCCTAGTAGCGATGCCCTTTGTTACTAGTAGCGTCCTTGTACACTGGTCGACAGTGTGGTTGCTCGCAGTGTCTGGATCGCCCAGGCTGGGACGTTACTCACGGAGCTCTCCTTCGATGGTGCTCTGAGCGTGAAAGACCTGCGCGAGGTGTCGATCCCATCGAGGTGTCGATATCTCGTCGTCCCCTGAGAAGCCCCAAATGAACAACCAGCGGGTATGCTGGGCTCAAGGTGCTGGAGGGTGTGGAAAACTGTGGTGGTATCCTCTCACACGCCGGTCAAGCTTGGGGCAATCACTTCGCATCACTTTGCCATGACTGATTCAACGGCCAGGAGCTCGCAAAGAGGCTGGGTTCTGTAGTGCTTTCATGCTTTGACAGTTTATGGTGGAATTCAGCGAGAAGAAGCAGTCAAGTATTTAGAATTCTGCGTTGCAAGGACTCCTGTTTGGAATCAACAGTAGCGGCTTTGTCATTATTAGCATTTTGAGATACTGTTGATGTTTTGACAGGCTCGCCCTGCCAAAGCACACGACTTAGAAATGATCTGACAGGTTTGCGTGAGCTGACCAGCTGACCTAAAACAACTTTTTGGGACTGTCCAGAGGTAGATGCCAGAGGAGGGGGGCACTGCGCAGACCCCCAAACATCAAAAAACAGTTCTGACATCAAACGTAGAAGGGCATTCCAGGACGGAGGCGGCTTCGCTTCCTGGAGTGATGAATGGCTTGCCACTTCCGATTGATATCCGGAGTGAAGTTTTTTGCCTGACCCGAACACAGCTGAGGCCACATTTGGCGCTGCTCTCGACAGATGGGAAACTGCTGCAGGTGTGAAGCAACCACGGTACCGAGTTTTCAGAGCTTAGTAGGGAATGGGATGGCATTGTTTTGTTTGAATCCTTCTGCATGAGCAGCACCAGGACATCATATGAACTGAGCAATATTGAGTGTCCATGAGTGGAACTTTGATCGCATAACACACTCATACAATCAACGCTTGTGTGCAGCCTCAACTATCCAAGTCACACAAAGTAAACTGCAACAAAATAGATGCAATTGCACTCCGGCTGAAACGACTCCGACAAATTCAGAAAGTCCACTCGACTTTCTTGGACAGGTCTCAAGCTAATCAGATCATTCTACGATGTTCTACGAAAGTCCCATGGAATTCACATCCAAAATCTTCCAGACTGCTGGCACTTCAAGAAATTGAAGCTATTGAATGCTATTGGGACATATTCTCCGCACTGACCACTTCATCCACTTAGGCTTAGACAAGTTGTTTCGACCCTCACACTTGCATACTCCATATGCCTCCCCTACGACGTAGTGTCGAACCTGGACGACGTTTATGCAAGCACAGCACACCTCATGATCCATCCTCTTAAGTACTGTAACTGAATCAACCATATCAATCATGAATCATGATCAATCATGATCAATCCGAATTCATCCTGGATTGGTTTCCGTGTGCCAAAAAGTCTTTGCACGTCACCGGGTCACCACTCTGTGGATTCGTTCCGAGTTCCGCGTTGCCAGGCGCATGACCCACGTTCACTGAGGAGCATTTTCCTGGAGACAGGCCCAGTGAAAACGGACCGAAGGTTCTCAGAAGCCAAGAAAGACATGTATATATATATATATAGATACTCTAAGATCCCTAAGATACTTTGTCAATGACGCATGGAACTTTTGTTTTTATGTCCAAACAGGCAGAGGCTGGCAAAGGTGTCCTTTGAGACTCCAAGAGACGGCCGAAACGCTAAGGTGGTCATGCCAAGCCCGAAGTCTTCGACGGAAGCTAGCCAGCTTTGGCATACTTTGGCATGAATTGGCATGCGGCACCGTCTTGGAGCGGTTGGGTTTCAGGGCTTGATGCGACTCCAGGGCCAGGGCGAGAAGATAGAAAGGGCAAAACGGGGACCCTTTAGACACACAGGTGGAAGAGACATGAAGAGACTGCATGTAGAGTATTTGGATCATCGTTTCCTCATAGGGTTTGATACTTTATGCAATCATTCGTGCATGCATTTATCATGTATGAATGAATTATATAGAGGTCGTAAAATGCTCAGGGTTGAGAATAGGGATGGAGATTGAGAAACAGCATCCACAGGAAACAGACCATATACAATGCCAATGCCAATGTCCTAATGTTCTTTACTTGAAGGCAGAGGATGTATGGGAATGTGTGAATGCTGCTGAGTGTGCAGCTCTGCTTTCCCAAGGCACTGCGTGCTAGCACACATGCAAAGGGCAATTGTATTCAAGCCATAATAGTACTGTATATAACTATATATAACTAAAATATTAATATCAATCAAAACCACAAGAATGTCATAGGTGACTCGACTTTAATGAGGTAACTTGAATTACTCGAAAGCCAGCTGTACTCCACCAATGTAATGTCCAGCAGATCCTTTGTATCTACGCATTGTTGGAAGTCAATATCTGGCCTTGCGGGCCGGTTTCAAAGCTGCTTGATTTGTGCTTCCTCATGCTGTGGCAGCTGCGTACATTACAGTATATCATCGTTTGGAAGCCAGAGGAGCCTGCGCTTTAGCGAGAGCCAGTCGGATGTGTTTCCTCACAAATCAAGTGTGTCGGATGTCTCCAAAGATGCTTTCTGAGCTTGAGACCTCCCAGTGAGTTTCACGGAAAAAGAGCATAAAAGAGCTTGGAGCTGAGCTGGAACCGCAGCGCGGTTCATTTGCACGACCATTCTGGGGTTCCAAGATCATTGCAGGGCTTGTTGATGTTTGCTTTAAGCTGCAGATTAGCAGATACATGTGACATTATCCGAAGAACATCGAAGAACCCTACGAAACACGGTCAGACTTCAGCGAGCTTGGTCCCGCAGATTTTGGCTCAAAGCCATCATCAATCACTATCTGGCCGAGTGGGCCATGTTGGGCGGCTCAAACTCGCGCTCTTCGAGCAGCTCACCTTCTTCTCCGTTGCTCAGGAAGGGCTAAGATGTGTTTCGAGAGTATGGCTGGCGCATTGTTCGAAAAGATTGGAATCGACTACAGATGTGCATGGGGATGGCTCAAGTATCATGAGTATCCTATTAAGTAATTGTATCCTGTTTTTAGATATTTTTAAATTGATTGTCTTATTCCGTGAAAATAGCAACCTTTTGCAGCAATCCTGATAGGCACGGATTGGGCAACTACAAGGTATCTAACGGTGCACGTGAATCGTTTGACCGACTGCCATTTGGAACTTGGAACCTTCATTATGAATTTTGTACATTGAAGTACAGTCAGTAGTTGTTCAGACAAATGCATAGATTGCAAGAGAGTGGCAGTGATGCTTTGATGAATAAATAATTAGTCCAGAATTTTGATTCTTTTTGATGGATAGTCGTTTGCTTTCAACGTAATTTAGTTAATGTTCGAATGGGAAAGCCTCGAACTGAGGCATTCTTAGCGGGTCTCTATAGTTCATATATACGTTCAATAGACTTATATATCTGTCATTTTATCCATTTCGACTCCCCACTTCACTTCGCTTCATTTCTTCCCACTTCGGGTCCGGGTACCATCCTCCTCCGATGCGACAGGACTGAAAGCACTGCCACCGAAGTGGGGGCCCACAGGACTCGGAGTCCGGAGCAAACGATTCCCAGTGAAAGGATTCCCAGTCCGGAAGCTTCTGGTTACTAGAAAGCTTTATTGTTACTAGTAGCGATGGCCTCCAACCTAGAAGTTTCTGGGTATGTGGATCATGGGTGAAAGGACCGCAACTGTTGAGAGAGCTGTCAACTTTTATGGGTATGTGGTCAAGAGCAATTCATAGAAATTCTATTTTATTGACATAGTGGACTGCAAACTCCAATCTTCTAGGATGTCTTTTGCTGATGTGAGGTTCCTTTCAAATCCTGTCAGCTGGTTCGCTTTCCGGACCTGGTCCGTGACAATTCTTTCGTTCACCGGATGGAGACGCTCGGCTTCGCCACATCAGGCAGATATTGTCGAGCACTGGGTCGGTAAGCTAGAGGCAGGGCGGCACAGGACAGGCGATATGTTTGGCAGTCCCCGGCGATCCCGGTCTGAGCGAGAAACTGTGCCGGGCCAAACATCGAACTTTGGACAAAACAGTCTGCTGCTTTGGATGCCCATGCTTTCCCTCTTGGTCCTAGCATGTCCTAGCGACATGCCGCCTCTTTAGGAGCCAAGTGTTCAAAGTCAGGTTCACGGAGAATCAATTCGTCCACTGTTGGGGTTTGCATGGCATGATCAATAAACAATGGAATTAGTACGCAACCCTGGTGCTCAGTGGTGAAGATGGTTTTGAATCAATGGCAGCAGACATAATGTGTACGTCGCAGTTTCGTTAGCTTGGACATAGAGGTTCTTGATCATTTTTGATAACTTTTGGAAATTTCGCAGAAATTGGCTGAACCTGGGGCTTGTAGACTTTCCTCGATCAATATTCTGGCAATTGACCACATGTCTGGTGGCAATCTTGCATTGTGACACTCAGTAGTTTTCAGCGCTCGTGCCACTGAGCTGCGCTTGGTCATGCAGGGATGCCCACCACTTCTTGCCCAACTTCCGACAGATCAGTTGGGACCAGCTGAACAACATCGAGAGGCCGGCAGCGACGGCAGTGTGTGAGGTCCCCAAACGCGCAGCTTAAACTCTTTTGCTCAGCTGTTTGTGCATATGGCAGAAATTGAACATGAATGACTGAATAAGCTCATGGCCGCCTGTCATTTCAAGACAACGTCAAAGTTTGGCAGGGAGCGTCGTGTTTGTTCCTCTCTGTTTGCACCTGTCTGTGAGGCAGAACTTGTGTCCGTCACATCTTGGCTAAAAGGCTTGTTCCAGTGGGATTTCCGCAGTGGGTTCGAAAGAACATAAAAGTCAAACATTAGCAAAGGTGTGCAAACACAGTTCCAACAGCATAAGTTAGCTCATTCACAGTTGCAGTAAGAATACCTTAGGATAGACACAGATATATATATATATGTTTGCAGTCGGCCAGTTCCAAGTTGAGTCTTTAAAACTTTGGATAACTTTGGTGTAGTAGTTTTTTATCATGCTGGATTGGCCTGGATTGCGTTTGTTTGCTCTGACTGACCTGCTGCCTTTATATGAAGACTTCATGCTGAAAAGAACATATTACATGTGACCTCACATGTTTGCACCTCCCTGTTATTCCAGTTCCTCTAGCTCACCAAACTCCAAAGGAACCGCTCTGCCACACGCCGTGGGCCTCAGAAAGGGTCCCATTCGTTTCACGGCGTTGTCTGCGCTGGCGCCGCTGCGCCCGCCCCCTTGAGTGAGGGGGCGGTCGTAGATATTGAGATCAACAAAAAAATCAGAAACAAGTACTCTAGTACTTCGGCTTAGCAATCGCAAGGAGAGAAAGACAGTTCTATTTCTATTCATGTCCCATGAAGGGCGGTTGAAGTCCTTGTAATATGTAATTGGTGCGGCAATTGCCGGGTTTTGTTTTGTTTGGATCACTATTGATCAGGCTTCCATTCCTTCAAACCAATGTGGGTTTTTGCGAACAAGCGAACTTGACCACCCTACAGGTCCGGGGGTCGGGGTCGGTCCGAGGACAACACTGCAGAAGCCACTGCACGACTCATATGTGGCTTGGCCACCCTGATGGGCAGGTATAGTCTGGCCGGGGAGCCAAGAGGATGGTCGGAATGGGTCGGATGGTCGAGGTCACAAGAGGTCGGATGGGACTGGGGCATGTTGACACAATGTTCGCTACTAGTAACAAGTGCATCGCTACTAGTAACAAGTGCCTTACTACTAGTAAAAAGAAGCTAGTAGTAACAAGAAGCTGTTGACATTCTAGGACCTGAAATTCGGCAATTATTGTAGGACATGAATTATTGTAGGACCTGAGGTAAGCTGGTAAGCTGATGATCCACTGTGCTCCCAAATGGCCAGCTGGGCAAGTCATGCATCGGCAAGTCATATGCATCATGGGGTTGCTCTTGATCCGATTGTCCAAAGGAACCTGTTGTTTCAGGCGACCACAGGGCGGCAAGATTCCACAACAGCGAAGACAGTCTCGACACGACGCCAACCAAGTGAAAGAACTATTTGGTAACTTCCTCAAACCCAGCAACCTGGGTTTTGAAGTCAATCGATTTGGACACCCAAAACCGCCTGCCTTATGGCCAGGCTACTGAGCTGGGCCTCGGCCTTTGGCGGAGTGACCTGAGCTCGCCGGGCTGTCAGCCCATGCGGGTGAGCCTGCTGAGGCGGATAGACTCTATCCGTGCCAACCGACATGTTGTCTTAGTGAAAGCAAAGAAAGAGATAAAGTTGTTTTTGTCTTCCAAGCTGTTCCTTTATGTTCCTTTTTAAACTCCTTTCTCCAAAAGTTTATATACTGTTCTCATTTACTCACTTGGGGTCTTTTTGCTTTGACTGTTGGCCTATGATTGGGCTGCAAGAGATGGATACGCATGCAACTGCACGGATGTTCACGAACAAGATCCCAATCAGGTTTCCGAATCGAGAATGTGTCTTTCCAGTCCAATAGAATAGAGAGACCCTTCAACAGTATATTTCTTGTTCTCTTCCTAGTCTTCTTTGGCTTGGGCCGGAACAGCTGAGCAAGATTCAAGACGGAGACATATACCAAAGAGATCCAAAGAGCACCAAGCATTTGACATCCCTATACATCCCCTTCAGCAGCGGATTTCGCTCATTGTTCAATATTCGTGCGCAGGCAGCCTGGTGATGCAACTCCAGTGCTAGGATCCAGAGTGGCAGAAGAGGACCGGCAGACGTCCAGTGCATTGGTAAGAAGATCTGCCTATCCGGCCAGCTCGTCATAAGCCATCGACAATACAGGAGTGTCCTTTTTTGCTTTTTGCACATACATTGATATTACATACTTTATTAAGCTCTGATAGCTCTGAAAGTTTGCAGGGAAGCCGAGAACACACTGTGAACTAACCACACTTTGCGGTGGGCATTGACGGAATCCAGATTTTTAGGCCTGCAGGTACCAGCATCCTTGTAGAGTCGCTTTGTTCCCGAAAGCGTAGCGAAGGGTTCCCGTTTAAAGTTGGGGGTGTGGGGGTTGGACATGTGTTTGCATGGCTTGCGTCGTGTCGTCGTCTCTCGTCGTCTGTCGTCGTCTCTCGTCGTTTGTCGTCGTCGTGTCGTCGTCGTCGCGTCTCAAATTCGCTGCCATTGACTTTTCATGGATGTGTAACGTGTCAGTTTGCGCCGCTATTCCATTGTGATTTGCGTGACGACATGGAGATGTCGCGCAAGAAACGTGATGCATTTCGCTGCACAGGCGCAGCGTTTTGTGAGATCCGCAGTTTGCTGCGCAGTGCCATTGGGATTAGCGTTTGGAGAGTCGTATTTTTGGGGTGTTGGATGTGGCCGTGCCATTGGGATTTGCGTTTCAGGGTGTGGCATCGAAGCTCTGTTTTCGTGACAAGTCTCAGCTGAAATGGTGGATGTGAGTGTGCTCTGAACGGGTCGAAATCATTCCAAACGTGTGGTGTGGTGCAAATTTTGTTGAAGCCCACATGGGATGATATTGTCACTTTTCGTGGCAGGCGCAGGACTTCGTGCGGGCTTTGAAGCGTGGAAGTGCGATTCTCGTGGCAGGCGCAGGGAATCGTGAGGTTGCGAGGTGTGAGGGAGGTGACATTTCGTGGCAGGCGCAGTACTTTGTGCGCGTTAGACGTGTGGATTGGGAAAGATTCGTGGCAGGCGCAGGGAATCGTGAGTTGTGAGTTGTGGTAGAGGTGAATGTCGCTGTCCCATTGGGATTAGCGTGTGAGCGGATGTTGTTTGGAGGGGCTGGAATCGCGAAACTGCTTGGCAGGGCTGCGTGATGTGTGTGCTCCGATGGGTGTTTCCGCTTGACTTTTGGAGGAAGTCTCGTACGAAACGCTCGTTTTGCAGACTTTGACGTGTGAGTTTTTGAGGAAGTCTCGTACGAAACGCTCGTTTTGGAGACTTGACGCGCAACCCTCTGCGGAGATCGTGCGTGTCGAGTGTGCGAAATGCAGGCGAGAGTGCGATTTGTCCCATGTGCGCGCAACCCTCTGCGGAGATCGTGCGTGTCGAGTGCGCGAAATGC